AAAGAATCAGAATCGGAAAGAATCAGAAGAGTCAGAAAGAATCAGAATCGGCATGAATCAGAGTCAAAAAGAATCAGAATCGGAAAGAATCAGAAGAGTCAGAAAGAATCAGAATCGGCAAGAATCAGAGTCAGAAAGAATCAGAATCGGCATGAATCAGAAGAGTCAGAAAGAATCAGAATCGGCAAGAATCAGAGTCAGAAAGAATCAGAATCGGCAAGAATCAGAGTCAGAAAGAATCAGAATCGGCAAGAATCAGAGTCAGAAAGAATCAGAATCGGAAAGAATCAGAAGAGTCAGAAAGAATCAGAATCGGCATGAATCAGAGTCAAAAAGAATCAGAATCGGAAAGAATCAGAAGAGTCAGAAAGAATCAGAATCGGCAAGAATCAGAGTCAGAAAGAATCAGAATCTGCAAGAAACAGAGTCAGAAAGAATCAGAATCGGCAAGAATCAGAGTCAGAAAGAATCAGAATCGGAAAGAATCAGAAGAGTCAGAAAGAATAAGAATCGGCATGAATCAGAGTCAGAAAGAATCAGAATCGGAAAGAATCAGAAGAGTCAGAAAGAATCAGAATCGGCAAGAATCAGAGTCAGAAAGAATCAGAGTCGTCGAGAATAAGAGACGGCAAGAATCAGAGTCAGCGAGAGAAAGTGATAAGACTGGAGTAATGAGTGTCTCTCCTAGGTACAAATGAGGGCTGCACCGGCTGCACGCAAACAAAGCTCCCGGTATCAGGTTAGTATCCGGTTAGCCACAATGCAAATCAGTCGAAGAAGTATGAAACAAATAATGTGTCCATATAAAACAGTAAAGATAAGCTTAAATTAAAAGACAAAACATTCCGGCTCATGCCCGTATCAGTAAAACAAAAAGCTTCATGAATCTAAATTAAAATTTACATTATATAATGTATAAATAATATATACTATATATATATATATAATATATATATAATATATATAAATAAATGCATAAAAGAAAAGAAATGAAAAAGGGTGGGCACTCGTCAAAAAGTCTTAAACTTATTAATGTGTTTTGTCCTTTTAAGATGTGTAAGTCAAATACCGGATGTTGCGTCATCTATGTCAAGACTGTGAAACTTTTGCATGTGCTATGGCGGACTGACCAGGGTCAACAGCACCAGCTCGTCGTATTCCCGAGATGCTCTGGACGTACAAAATAATCAAGGTCAACGCTCCTTTGGCAATTCCTTGTAACAATGACTACTCCCGTCACAGGACTCGTTGATTGGAAATAATGATGTCTCCCCGTAGGCCGACGTCTCCGTTTAGCGGCCTGTTATTAGCGGGGGTCATTATCACAGCGCTCGTGGCCTGGCTGTGATTGCTCTCGGTTGCGACCCGCCCGGAGACGGACACAAGTCCAATCAGCAGCTGCTGACGAGAAGACGATCAGATGAGCTGCGTTCAAATGGTTGTTTTAATATTTGGTTAATGCGGCCCACAGGATTTTTGGATGACAGTGTGCTGCTAGCGACCTCCAGGGCTCACCCCCTTGGATTTACATTTGAGTAAATATACAATTAAATTGCATTCAAAATACTTATATTGACCATTTAAGACTTTTAAAATCGGGGCACGGGAGAGCATTTGAATGGTTTGGCAATGTAGAAAGGAAATGGGATTCGTCTGCCCCGACACCTCTTCACCGAACATGTGAATTCTTGCCCTGGACGACAGCCTGTTGTGCCGATGGCACTGAAGCATTCAGCCACCACGATCTTCAATGAATCGACAATTAAATATTAGAAATACTTATATAATATAGGCTTTGTCAGATGGTGGCGATACAAAGATAACAGACTTCTGGGTTAAAGACCCACGTGTAACAGTTCAATTATTGTGATTGGGTGTGTTTGGTCTGAAAATGATTCGTTGTAGGGTGCATGGGCGCCCCCAGAAAACTTGCTAGGGGGGGGGGGGGCAAAAGAAATTGATTAACTTTCTAGGGGGGGGGAATTGTTAGTAATGTTTTAATGTAGTTTTAATTTACTGTAGCGTATTTGTATGGTAAACGAACGGACAGGANAAACTTGCTAGGGGGGGGGGGGGCAAAAGAAATTGATTAACTTTCTAGGGGGGGGGGAATTGTTAGTAATGTTTTAATGTAGTTTTAATTTACTGTAGCGTATTTGTATGGTAAACGAACGGACAGGACACCAGCTTAGCTACTTTCTCTTTATTTTCTCTTTACTTTAATACATTTTTTGTCTATTTTTGTCTCAAAATTTTTTATCCAATCAATGGGGCACCCTGCGGGCGCCCATGGTACGGTGGTCTCAATCAAATCAAAGCCCAAAATTAATGTGCCAAGGAAAGGAATGAGCCAATGAGACCGAACTTCAGAGTAACTTGGGGTCGGAGGGGGGTTTAAAAAAAAAAACAATTAAAGGAAATGGCATTTAAAAAATAATCATACGGGACTTACTTCTACTACTGTAAAAAAAAAAAAAAAAAAAAAAAAAAAACAAGGACCCCCACCCCCAAAAAAACCCCCCCCCCCCCACAAAAAAAAAATAAATAAATAAAAATAAAAGAAATCAACAACAACAAAATAAACCAAACACACATTTATGGTTACAACTAATTAACTTAGATTCGAATAGTTTGACTAGAGCCATAGAACCAATAGAACTCATGCAGGTCGAACTGTGACAATCAGGACAATGGATGTTCTACAAGGAAATGTCTGCTTGCAGCTGCAACTCTTGGCATTGAAGCCTGTTTATGGGGGGAAAAAATGCTCTAAAACGTTTATTTATGAGTTGACATATATAGGTCGATAAGCTGTCTTGGCCTTGGTATTAATAAGAAACTCTGTCTAATAGCAAGAGGCCAGCTTCTCTTTCAATCAAGGGTTCCCCGTGGTGATAGACATGTAGTGATAGAATTAAAACTCTACTATTATTAATGGATATATTGATAGAACTGTAGTTATAGAACTCTACTATTATTACTGGAAGGGTAGAACTGAATTGATAGAACTCTACTATTTAGAGATAGAAATGTATTGGGAACACAGTAGACCTTCGATTACTCTAAAAAAGTCAAATTGGGATGAGTTATTGCTATCACTTAAAATTAAATAGCTCCGCAAGTTCTTATAATATTAATTAATCCCCCACCCCCCTCCCCCACCCCTGAGGCACGACCTTACATTGCTCGACTCTGGGATTGAGAGGACTCCAGGTTGGAAAACCTTGTTCTAGATGTCATCATGTACTGAAGAAGTCTATAATTTACTATATCTTTGCAAATCAAATTTCGTGCCATTATAATTTTTAAGTGCCGCTAACTGCTGAAAAAAAAAAAAATTCGATTTGAATTATGAACACGATTTAAATTATGAACATCAAAGATTTTATATAAACTTTTAATTCCTTATTGTGTAGCGGCAAAGGCTGACAGAGAGGGGGGGGGGAGGGGGGCTAAAAAGAAAATTATAAAAAAACACATTATCTATAACGTTTTAAACAAAAAAAAAAAAAAAAATTCGATTTGAATTATGAACACGATTTAAATTATGAACATCAAAGATTTTATATAAACTTTTAATTCCTTATTGTGTAGCGGCAAAGGCTGACAGAGAGGGGGGGGGGAGGGGTGCTAAAATGATAATTATCAAAAAGCACATTATCTATATCGTTTTAAACAAATAGATGTTGTTTGCCAGTAAATAAATAAAATCACGTATTGAAAGTTATTTTGATAATTTAAAATAGTAATAAACAAAATACTGAATTACTTTTCAAAATTTGTGCAAAATTCGTTGGTGTTGACCCGAAACGATTACAACGCCCCCTATAGATTGTGGTCAAAGACAGCTGTTATCTTTGAACAAAAATCACCCCTAACACCCATGCCACCATGTTTGTTATGCTAAACCTAAACTAAGTCTTTCAAACAAGCCATTTAGCTGTCTTGATATCGGTTCAACATTTGTCTAGCCGAACCACGCCTTTATCTGTCTGACAAATCTGTTGTAACAGAAGAATTGGGCCTGAATCGCTTTTATTTTCACGGGCCAACGCCGTCTGACAAAACTTCGATTGGATTTCTCAACACACCAAACACCAAACACCAACCACAAAAGGATGGTGTCTGGCAAGGGTCCATCCGGCCATCGCTTGTCATCGTCCTCTCGACTTAAACACGTCATCAAATATTTATACACCGCATTGGGGCTTAAGGTTAGGAGAGTTGACCATAGGGATGGGGGAGGGGGGAGGAGAGGAGGAGGGGGGGGGAAGGTCCCTGCCTTCAGGGCGGAAGGAAACGGGCAGGATTTCGGGTCGGTTGTATTATTGCGCATGGGTAACCAAGGCAACAGAATGGCTTCCTTCCTGTATTGGATAAGACTTGCCCACACACGCCCCGCCCTCAAAGTCCGGCCCGCCTCCTTTCTTGGAGAACAAAGTCTCGGAGCGTTTCATACACTAATCAAACAGGAGACAAATCTCGTTTCCGAGGATAGTTGCGTCCCTTTGCGTGTAGCGCTGGACATACTTATGCCCCCCTTAAGACAGTCGTAGGTACTTGAAGATTTGAAGGGGCCCTCCCCCCCACTTGAAACTTTGAATCGTTCGTCCTGTAGAGGGGGATTAAGAAGCGGACATCTGCTTAAAGCCCGTTGTTGTTGTTGTTGTGCAAACATTGAAAGTGATTCCTCGGACGGCCCTTTGCTGGTTTATCAGACAGGAACTGGATTCGTTTCATCGTCCAGTTTCTAGAATGTCATAGTCATATAATTAAATCGGGCATTTATGTCAGGAAACCAGCTCGTTGCACTGAGTGCGCATTTGCTTGGTTGACGAAAACTACAGTGTTTTGGTTGTTTTTTTTGTTGTGAGTTTGTTTCGGAGACTGGATGTGTTAAAGTCTAGAATCAAGTCTATTTATAAAGATTGCCTTCAACTGCTTCAAGCACCGGGAAAAGCGAAATTTAATGAGAAAACGGACCTGCTTAAAAATCAAAAACTTCGTACATCTTTAACTATACGATCATATTGAATGTTTGTTTGTTTTTTTTTGTTTTTTTTTTTACAACCACGCAACTGATTAAGAAAAAATATATAATTACCGAGTCCCAGCTTTCAATTTTTGTTGTTGTTCATGATTGGATAATTCTGGATATCAACAAATTGAAGCCGAAGATATTCTAGCATGCACGTGTTACAATGACCTCAAAATGCCAACCATTTCACTCAAGTCTGTTCTTGTTTGGTGAACTTTTCTGACACTCTACATGTACCTGGACGTCCATTGCACGCGGGGTGAGTACCTGACAGTGAACCGAGAATTTTAAGTAATTCATACATCGTCTGCTTACGGGGCTCGATAATGTGAACGATTGGTACAGATTGAGTTTAGGTGTATGAATGACATTGAAGTCGGGCGATATGGAACTATTTTGAATATGTACATATAATAAGATAATCTAATATGAGCATTTATTTTAATAATCTAATATGTACATATATTATGATAACACAATGCGTACCTATATTATAATAATTTAATGCGTTCATATATTAAGATAATCTAATGTGTACAGATATTATGATATATTGAGATAATCTTAATGTGTACAGATATTATGATATATTACGATAATCTAACGCGTACGTATATTATGACCATCTAATAAGTACATGCATTATGATAATCTAATACGCACATATAATTTTTACTAATCATCTTTAAAGTTTTGAATACTGAATTATTCTCGAGGTAGCAGAAACGCTACCAGCTGTATTACATAAGTAAGATGACAGTATTAAGTGCACCGATGCAATGAACGTTATTATATAACCTAACCCCTCCCTATGGTTTCTAAACTTCCTTTCTTGGATTTGAACACCCTAACCAGAAGCGCATTTTAACACTTTTAAAGATGTAGCATAATAATTTAATTAAAAATATATTTGAAAAAAAAAAAAAGGAAAATGTAGACACACTTTGATTCAAATTATGTATTTCTAAAAAAAAATAATTTCATTAAATATTTTACAGATCTATCTATTTAGCACCAAGAAAAAAAACAAAACATTATAATATAATAATTCATGGCCGCAAATAATGAAAATAATACCTATGGGTATAGTACGAGCTACCGCGCGAGCTTAGCAATCATAATTTTAAATTCATAAATTTTAAAGACTTTTAGCCGCTAACCTTATCACTGCAACTACCACTACTACTGCCTCTACTGGGCATTTCGTTTTTTTTTTCATCGGATTAGGTTTGGAAAAAAGAATTAAGATAACTATATTACACATAAATTCTTAATATTAAGCTAATAATCTAATTATAAGACAAAGCTTTTTATTTCAAAATCTCCGACAGATTTTCATGACTATCTGAATATTTCTAAAATGAAGAATAAAAATTGCTTCTAATGTCAAATCTTGACATGTGAATGTTTGTGTCCAAGAGACCCCCACCCCCCAAAAAAAAAACAAACTACAACTCCCCCCCCCAACCCCCCCCCCCCAAAAAAACAACCAAAAACAAAANTTGCTCTCCCCCCTCCCCCCCCCCCCCTTTAAAAAAAAAACTCCCCCCCCCCCCCCCCCCAAAAAAAAACAGCATCCAAAACTCAAACAAACAAAAATATAGTTGACTAAGACATGGAAGCGTTTAGTTGATTAAGACATGGAAACGTATAGTTGATTAAGACATGGAAACGTATAGTTGATTTGGACATATAAACGTATAGTTGATTAAGACATGGAAACGTATAGTTGATTTGGGCATGGAAACGTATATTTGATTAGGACATGGAATGGTATAGTTGATTTAGACAAGGAAACATATAGTTGATTTGGACATGGAAACATATAGTTATTAGGAATGGAAACGTATATATTTTGATTTAGATATATGAAAACATATATTTGATTTGGACATGGAAGCGTATATTTGATTTAGATATGGAAATGTATATTTGAGTTAGATATGAAATCGTATATTTGAGCTGCATATGGAAATGTATATTTGAGCTAGATATGGAAGCGTATAGATCTACATAGAGTATTTCTTGAACTTGTGCGCACATATTAATAACCATCTATAGCATACATTGTTTTTAAAATACTTTATTTAAATATTGAAAAAATAATAATTATAATTTGAAGACATACATAGAATCATTCTAATTTCTCAATTAATCACGTTTGACTCTCTATAATAAGACTTCAAACTTGTGTCTAAAAAGACATTTTTAAATGTATAACGTATGTCGCAGTAATATGGTTTTAAAAAGAAAAGTAAACTTAGGCAGGGGCGTAGCTAGGGATTTGGGGGACCGGGGGGCTTGGCCTCTTTGGGGGCCCCTGCATTTTGACATTCGACATTATTTATTGTAAAAAAAAAATTCGGACACTCCTTTGGGGGCCCCCCTCAAGTAGGGTCCAGGGGGGACTTTCGAATTTGGACCCACCCTCCCCCTCCCCTAGCTACGCCACTGAACTTAGGCCTTCCTACGTCCAGATAAATTTAAGATAGTACAACAATGCATGCGTGGCGTACGTCACCGGAACCCAGAGAGCAAAGCGCTATCAATGGGGGTTTATCATGATTAGTTAAATTCTCTAACACTTAGGGAGGGGGGGGGCGGCGGCAACAATAGGGTAACATTGGATATTGGATTGGTCTTAGAAAAAAAAAACATACACTCACACACACACACATTCACACACACACACACTCACACACATTCACACACACACATTCACACACACACACATGCACGCGCACATGCCAAGAGGGGAAACAATTAAGCTCCGACTCTTCTGATTTAAAATAAATGTGTTTCCTCACACTCACTCAATTTAGATTGAAGGTCTAGGTCAAATTCAGAACCTCCACCAACCCCCACCCTTTTCTTTTAAATTTTAAATTTTACTACGCGCATTTAACCATTTCAGAGCTATTAACCCCATAAATTTGATAAATTATAGGGTCCCAATGAGTGACAGTTGTCACCAAAATTGAAGCTCTCTACAGCATCGCGAATAAAAGATACAAGACTGCAAATAATTTTAATGCAAAAAAAAACAAAACAACGACAACCAAAAAAACAAAACAAAAAAAACCAGCACACAACCAACCAGTACAAAGTTTTCCAACACACACCCCCCAAACCCATATGAAATTGGCAGTTGGTGACAATGACTAAACATACCTCCTACTCTTTAATGTGACAATACGTGACGTCATATTCACCACCCTTCAAAAAATAAAAAGAAGGTAATATGATATGCATCCTATGTTACTCAAAATTAACAGCAGCCAATTAAAAATAAAAAAAAAAAAAAAAAAAATAGTTCATGGCTAAAGGGTTCCCAATCCATAAGGGGCGCTTGCGATTTTCGATGGATCGCCGGCTGAAAGAGTTTTAAAAAAAAAAAATTACAAAAAACAAAACAAAAATTAACAAATAAAGATTTAAAAAAAAAAAAAAACAATTATTATTTTTTAATCGATGTCTTAAGTTTAAAGACTATTAAAATAATCGCAATACTCGTGTAAATGTATTTTTTAGTTTGTATTTTCAAAACTTCTTTAGACCGGGAAAAAAAGAAAAAAAAAAGTAAATAAATGTTGGGAATGACATGACAGTTACCACAAAAACTCAATGGCGAACGTTTCAAGCCTGTTAACTTAAAGAGATAAGGCGAAGATGTCAATCATCGCACTAAAAATGTCGGGGGTTTCAATAAATACGTTGAATTGAATAATAATACCCTTAAAATCTATCATGGTTGCGGCTCTTAAAAAAAAAAAAAATATTTGAAATTTAAGAAAAAAAAATTGATAATATAATAACACTTAAAAGTACACATTTCCTGTTAAATAAAGAAAGCATTGTTGGCGTTGTATTATGTCTTTGTTTTTAACATTATTTCGTGATGCAGATTGCGCCCTGGTTTGACCACGCCCCTGCAAAACTTTCTATTTTTTTTTTTTTTGTGTTAAATTTTCTTTCCCATTCAAAGCACCGTTAGCGGTGGTGTAGCTATAGGGTTAGTGCCGCCCCGAGGCGCACCACCCCCTTCGCACCCCCAAAAGCATTGTTGGCGTTGTATTATGTCTTTGTTTTTAACATTATTTCGTGATGCAGATTGCGCCCTGGTTTGACCACGCCCCTGCAAAACTTTCTATTTTTTTTTTTTTGTGTTAAATTTTCTTTCCCATTCAAAGCACCGTTAGCGGTGGTGTAGCTATAGGGTTAGTGCCGCCCCGAGGCGCACCGCCCCCTTCGCACCCCCGCTTCCTACGCCACTGACCGTTTTAGCAACGATTTGAAAAGAAAAGGACATTGGTGCAAACTCATTCGTTAGTGTGCCGTGGGAACTCACTATAACACAGGATTGGTGTGCCGTGAACACAAATATGAGACCATCATGGAATACTGTTTACATTGGTGAACGCATGAAATGTTTCGTCTTTCCATTTCAGGCTGGCCCGACACAGCGCCCCTGTCACAGGATGGCGCTGTCCCCTCACCACGCCCACCCTCACACTGGAAGTCGTCCGGCTTCGACATGGGCGGGATGTGTGCGCGCATGCAAGGTGAGAAAAGAATTCTTTATGAAAAATAACACACCCAAAGATAGAAAGAATGGGATAGATGTGTAAAGCAAGTCATGGAAAATAAACAAGACCATCCCCCCCCCCCCCCACAAAAAAAAAAAAGAAAGGGATAGATGTGAAAAGCAAATCATGGAAAATAAACAAGACCACCCCCCCCCCCCCAAAAAAAAAAAAGAAGTATGGGCCTCCAAACTAGAGAATATGGGTCAACAAGCTAGAGAGTATTAGCCAACCAGCGAGAGAGTATGGGCCTCCAAGCTAGAGAGTATGGGCCAACAAGCTAGAGAGTATGGGATTCCAAGCTAGAGAATATGGGCCAACAAGCTAGAGAATATGGGCGACAAGCGAGAGAGTATGGGCCAACAAGCTAGAGAGTATGGACCTCCAAGCTAGAGAGTATGGGCCTCCACGCTAGAGGGTGTGGGCCTCCAGGCTAGAGAGTGCGGCCTCCAAGCTAGAGAGTGTGCAATGATGAACTATGGGACCATCGATTTCAGTGTCAGTTAAAATATTTATTTTTAAAAAAAAAAAACAGACAAAAAATAACATTGATGTTAAAATTATTATAAATCAAAGGTTCTTATTGAGGACAGATTACGGCATCATAATTTTACTCTTCGCTTTGATTAGAGATTTTGAACTTCTTTTTATTTCGATCTTGAAGCAAGTAAGTCCCCTAAAATTTGTATTTCAACAAATCGGTTGTCAACTGCGATTCAGATCATTGGGGACCGGGGATGGGACGGTGGAGAGGGGGAGCAGGGCAAGGCAGAAACAAACTTTCCGTTTTAAATCCTACTTACACAAAAAAAAAAAAAAAAAAAAAAAAAAAAAAATGAAATGTTCTACTTTTCGTGCCATGTCCCGGTAAACTGCTTAGGACAGTTTTAATTCTCTTCTCTGCGTACATATATTTGAGCGAGTATGTAGAAACCCCCCATTTAATGATGCCCAAAGTATTGTAGAAACTAAAGCAAAAAACTTAAGTTAAAAACTCATAAGCCTGTACTCAGTGGCGTAGGAAGTAATGTGCGGAGGAGGGAGGTCCACCCCGATGGTGGCACTTTTTCTTTATTTGGAGGGGAGCAACATTTTCATGCCAACTGCTGAGATTTTTCTTTCGTGGAAGCGAGTGCCAGAAGTCTTGGACCGCCCGGAGCGACACCAACACAAATGACTCTACTTGAAGAGCAAGAATGGCATTATGCTCATCGAACTAACTAGAATGGATTTAGACGCAAATGATGTTTGCTGATAGTTTTCAACTTTAAGAGGTATTCCAGGGGGGGGGGCAAGATCAAGATTGGAATTATATCCGATTGGGCGCTGACAACTTTCGTCTGTGCCAGTGTTTCTCAAATGGTGGTCCGCGGACCGGCGCCGGTCCACGAGCCTTACGTTGCGGTGCGTCCAACATGAAATATTTACGTTTGAATAAAAAGAAAATATAATAAATCTGGCACCGGTCCCTGGTGGCGCTGATGCAATTTTTTAAACGTGTCCGCCGGGGCTGCCAAACTTAAAGATTTGGGAAACGCCGCTCTATAAAGTAGATGGAGAGGTTCTTTTTATTCTACGATTCTGTCGCAACATGTCATTAAAAAAAAAAAAAAAAAAAAAAAAANTTAATTTTTAAGAAAAATTGTCTTGTACTTCTGGTAAATTTGGCAAATCAATAAATTGATAAATCCTCCGTAGGAAATATTAAATGGTTTGTGTTCAGTAGCGTCGTTGAATTTGTCAAACCATCACCGCGAAAACCACAAAACAAGTAGAACACAACTGAAGCGTGACCATAGCAGATGTTGGGACCCGAAAAGACCCCCCCCCCCCTCCAAAAAAAATGTGTGACCTGGTGCGGACGGCCGGTTATTTACGTTACGTAAAAAGGGGGGGGGGGTAAACGACATGCATTGTTAGGAGGCGCAAACTCCAATCACAGCCATGAGACATAGAACTTCTATATAAAACCTACAGGGCTGAAAAAATACATAAGTACTAAAGAATGGGACCACTACAGATTGATATAGCTGGTCTACAAGATTACTCAACAGCAACCGGTCGTGGGTCGAAAATAAATAACGCCCCCTTTTGACATAAGTACCCCGGGGGGGGGGGCGTCTGTTTGGTTAGGTGTCCGTTTCTTGTCTCAGGAAACAGGGATGGGATTAACTGGAGTAAACCTGACAACACCTGCTGGCCAGAAGCAAACACCTGCTGACCAGAGACCTACACCCCGCTCGGCTCAGCGAGAGAATAAACTCCAGGGATTAGAGTATTCAAAGACACAATGCTAGCTGGGGATTACTGTGTTAGATTAGATGAGACACAAAAGTAAGCTCGGTTTTCTACTGTTTTTGTTTTGAAAACTCTTGTTGTCTCCATCTTCTATAATTTTTTTTTAAATGTCTCCTATATCATATATGACTATATCTGATGGTCTACGTGCTGAGGAAACAGAAATCCTATGTTTACGTGATGATGGATAACTTTTGCTGAGGACCCCCCCAAAAAAAATCCTTTGTTCATTTGTTACACTAACAGTGGCGAATGCGCCCAATAAAGGCAAAGGAGGCAACGGTATATATGGGCCCCAAGCATTTAAGTCGACCCCGGGATAGGGGCCACTAAAATATTTGCGCACTGATTTTAATATTATACAGCACCGTTAAATTTTGTTTTTTTACGAATTTTCTTTACCCCCATCTGTATTCTTATTCAAGCAGTTGATACACGTCATATCCGCCTTTTGGGGCCCAAAACTATTAGGACTCACAACTCTGTCAAACTCTTTAAAATATTTGTGTTTTTTAATTTTTTTTTTTTTGGTATTTGATATGTTTTATTAGTTGTGTGTGTATGGGGGGCGGGGGTAGGGGGGCGGGGTAGGGGTGGGGGATCTAGACTACCTTGGGAGGTTTCAATCCTACACCGTATACTAATCGTAATCAGCGGTCGTAAATGAAGGGAGCGAGAACAGGTTTAGTAATTATGCAGTGAAGAAACTTGACTAAAGTGGCAACCCCCCCTCCCCCGACCCCCAGGCGAATTATCAGTATATATTCAGGGCCGGATTCTATGCTAATGTTGCAGGGCGCTGCAGTCAAAGTGGAGGGGCGTGCGGGCGCGGGGGGGGGGGGAGGTTCGTAATATTTAGCTGAAAACATCCGAAAAATCCGAAAATGTATATAACTTTATTTCTTTTGTTTAAAAGTACAAATTAAATGCTTAAATATATATATATATATATATATATATATATATATATTTAAAGTTAACTTTAAATATAAATTAAATGAATTGAGCGGTACATTTAGATTGGACGTCTTTACAACTTGGGCTGTCCTATGTCACAGGGTGAGAAGGCACACACTAAGGCAGCGGTTCTCAACTTGTGGGTCGCGACCCCTTAGCAAGTATACCTTGCAGTTATTAAGTTGCTACGAAAATAATTTTGTGGTTGGGGGGGGGGGTGGCCACACCATGAGGAAATGTATTAAAGGGTCGCGGCATAAGAAAGGTGGAGACCCACGGCACTAAAGGGGAAACCACGCGTTAAAGGAACAGGGTGAGAAGGCACACACTAAGGCAGCGGTTCTCAACTTGTGGGTCGCGACCCCTTAGCAAGTATACCTTGCAGTTATTAAGTTGCTACGAAAATAATTTTGTGGTTGGGGGGGGGGGTCGCCACACCATGAGGAAATGTATTAAAGGGTCGCGGCATTAGAAAGGTTGAGAACCACTGCACTAAAGGGGAAACCACGCGTTAAAGGGACATGTCTGATCTGGCATTACCAGAGTGATTTCAAGTGATTCCCTCTACGCTCACTTCGATTGACTTCTATGTATCCACTGATAGTGACAAACTACATTGTTAGTTACCATTTTAAAATACATTTTTAGTTTACCCTGGGCCGTATGTACGCCTGAATAGAAAGTTGACAGGGGGGAAGGGTGTACGCCAAATTATAAAAGAGGGGGCGGTGGGGGTGCTGAGATTTTTTTAAATGACAAAAACAAGACAGCAAGCATACAACTTACGGCTTGTTAAATAGGCATCCTATTAATAATGCGGTGTTACGTGTGTGTGGCACAAAATTTCAATAAATTCTACAGTGTCAGATGCGAATCAATGTACATCATTTTTGATGTCAATAGTATTGCCTTTTTTCTTACTACGCTTTCTTTGTGAATAATTTGAACTAACCAAAAGAAGTAATCGTCTTACCGCGTTATAAAGGCTATTTGGTTAAACAACAGTGCTAAGGGTTATATGAGGCTATTTTATTCAACAACCTACGGGTAATTAAAGGCTATTTGGTTGAATAACCTACGGGTTATATAGGCCATTTGGTGAACTATTTTTAGTCTATTAAAACCGACTTTTAACCCGCGAACCGTTATATTGGCCGTTCATCATCTGCTACGTCTGCTGCTGGGGTGTTACGGCTGTTGCTGTGGTGTTACGGCTGCTGCTGGGGTGTTACGGCTGCTGCTGGGGTGTTACGGCTGCTGCTGGGGTGTTACGGCTGCTGCTGGGGTGTTACGGCTGCTGCTGGGGTGTTACGGCCTCTTTTAATATTATAAATGCGAATCGAAAGTTGTACGGTTTTTAAAGGGAGATAACCTCGTCAACTAGATTAGCTTAAAAATAATTTAAACAATTAGGAGGCGGCAGAATTAAGCGCTCTGGCGTAGGGATGTATTAGAAATGTGTAAATCAGGCCCCTGGCTATATTCAGTAGAGAATCACTGATATTGGATATATTATTTTAAAGTTATGTTATGCAACAACAGTAAATGCCTTTGCGCCGAAAGTAACAGTACTGTAACGCCCTTATCGCATACGCGTTATGTCAATGGTGCATCTGTCCAACCGCCCGTGTTCTTTGTAAAGAAGAAATGTTGGGCAGTTTTTTTGTTGTGGAAATGGGTCTCTCAGCAGAGGAAAAAATATTCATTGTTGACCATTAGTTTAGCTCATACGTATCTGTTTGTCAATAGGGAACGCGCTTACAAAAACGTGATAGAACAAATCCTATAATATAGAAATGTAAGTGAATAACACGGCTGTGCTGACTGCTTTTACATTTTCCAGTTTTAAATCCATCACCGACGAATTATATAAAAGAAACACGAAGGACCCCAAACATAAAAAAAAATTGACGAATGGGAGAGTACCTCAATGATAACTGTTCACGCTTGCGAAAAATGCGCGAAACGAAACCCTTGGAACAAACAGATCTTTGGGGAAGTCTACAGTTAACAAGTTATCGAGGCTCTCCACGGCGCGAAGCGAAACCATTAGATCAAACAGTTCTTTGGGGAAGGCCAAACTAAACCATTAATCGGGGCTCTTCTGATAGAGGATCTTCTACGAGAATTGCGGCAGAGACTGTCATTCCAAGATCAGTCTCATAAGCCACTCAAAAATAGTGCCAGTAATACAGAGCAGTGGCGTAGCTATAGAGTTAGTATCAACCGGGACGGGCCAAGATTTTAGCCACCCCCTTCCACACGAAAAACACAACACAAATAAACAAACACATTACAGCTGGTTTAAATTTCAGCCCCTTTTTATATAGAAAAATGTGTGTCGGGGGGCGGACATACAGAGGTTATACCATGATCTAGTTCCCACTTGGCTATTTTTACAAGACATGTACATTTTACGTACAATGTTGCAAGTTACTTTCAACTGAAATCAAGTTTAATCGATGTATTTACATTTGTGTTGCCCTAATGCCAGGTTACCCCGAGGAATGCTCCTACCCCTTCCCATCGCACCTGAGCCCTTCACTAACAGATGACATTCATGCCCAGGTCAGGATCACAGGTGAGAGAAACGTCTTTTCTTGTGTCTGTTACACGTAGACGTCGTGACGGTGGGAAGAGCGGTGACGGTGGTGACAAGGGTGACGGTGGGCAGAACGTTACGGTGGTGACAAGGGTGACGGTGGGCAGAACGGTGTCGGTGGTGACAAGGGTGACGGTGGGCAGAACGGTGACGGTGGTGACAAGGGTGACGGTGGGCAGACCGGTGATGGCAGTGACAAGGGTGACGGTGGGAAGAACGGTGACGGTGGTGACAAGGGTGACGGTGGGTGAATGGGTGTCTGTGGTGAAAAAGGTGAGGGTGGGGAAATAGTGACGTTGGGGAAATAGGTATGGCGGTGAAAAAAGGTGATGGTGCCGAAAAAGGTGATGGTGGTGAAAAAGGTGACGGTGGGCAAAAGGTGACGGTTGGGGAAATAGCGACGATTGGGAACAACAGTGTCAACAGTGACAGTTGAAAAAAAAAAAGTTATAATGACAAATTAAACTTAGCGACTATGTAGGCCAAAAAAGCGAATCTGGCTGTAAACTGATAGTGGCCACAAAATTGATTCGCAGTACAGATTTATAAATAATTCATAGAAATATTATTAGCTTTTGATATATAATTTTACTTGAAATCTGTCCTAAAAAATATCATGTTATTATACACAATTTTTTTTTCAACAGATCCCTACAAATTGTTTACACAGCTGACCAATCGCCTGACCACTTCCGGTAAGTGTAAAAACCAGTCGTAAGGAAATTATACTCAAGCCATTTTATTGTGTTCCCAAATTTTTAATTTGTTAAATGAAATGCCACGAGTGATATTTATATTTGTTATCGAAAAGTGTATTGAGATTGAAATATATCTGTATTTTCCATGTTTAAAAAAATAATTATAGATCGATTGCGTGAGGAAAAAAACCCATTAACCCTGACCAGTGTCGTTGCAAGATTAACTACCCCCACGCAATCAACACTTCTTTTTCTAGGAAAAAATCTGCACTTTTAAGAATCCCCCCCCCTCCCTTTTTCCATTTCTTTTCCATACATAGTAAAAAAGTCATTAAAGGGCATACCGATCCCCCCACCCCCTTCGCTCTCCCCTTCCCACTCAACCGACCGTGAAAAATTCTAAATCGTACGGTATGTAATTCGTCAAGTTATTAAATAGGAATATACTATACTTTCAAATTTCACCAGACCAGAGTCGTCCTAGGAAAGAGTCATGAAATAAACGTAAATAACAGCAAAGACTTTTGGTTTTGCTTCAAGTCTCATCAAAGTAAAATCCAGGCCCTAGCTGTTACATTATTTGATCCATTTATTTCTCCCCCCCCCCCGGAGGGCCACAAACCACAAACCACACAAACACACAAACCACACAAACCACACAAACCACACAAACCACACAAACCACACAAACACACAAACCACACAAACACACAAACCACACAAACACACACCATTTCCTCCAAGCTTCTTATTTTGTCATCCTTCCATTGCATTCACATACCTCCTAACAGGATCCGGCCAGATCCAGCTGTGGCAGTTCCTGCTGGAGCTCCTCTCCGACGTCAGGAACACGGCCTGCATCACGTGGGAGGGCAACAACGGGGAGTTCAAGCTGGTCGACCCCGACGAGGTGGCCCGGCGGTGGGGGGAGCGCAAGTCGAAGCCAAACATGAACTACGACAAGCTGAGCCGGGCGCTGCGCTACTACTACGACAAGAACATCATGACCAAGGTTTGGAATCATCGGCACTTAGGGGAAAATATCAGACACTCCTATAACTCAGTGGGTCTCAACCTTCCTAAATGCCGCGACCCTTTAATTTCATTTCCATAAATGCTGTGGCGACCCCGCAGTCATAAAATTATTTTCGTTGCTACTTCATAAATATGTGTTTTCCGATGGGCTTAGGCGGCCCCTGTTTAAGGGTCGTTCGACCCCCCCCCCACCCAAAGGGGTCGCAACCCACTGGCTGAGAACTGCTGTTTTAACGGGGTTACGAAGTATGTTGCGTCGATGATCCACTCTTCGAGAAAAACAAAAGCTGCTTGATAAATTAAATATTATCCATTTAAACATACTTTTTAAAAAAAATGGACATGCGTTTAAACATATTTTTAACAAGGAAAAACAAGCGTTTAAACATACTTCATACTTTGAACAAGGAAATAATAGGGTTTAAGCATACTTTAAACAAGGAAATTCTTTTTTTAAAAAAATGGACATGCGTTTAAACATATTTTTAACAAGGAAAAACAAGCGTTTAAACATACTTCATACTTTGAACAAGGAGATAATAGGGTTTAAGCATACTTTAAACAAGGAAATTCTAGCGTTTAAACATATTTGAAAAAAGGATAGACTAAAGTCTAGACTAATCTTTCAAGTGATTGACATCAAATTCACAAAACTCGTAAAGCTCCTCTGACCATATCCGTTATCAAAACCCTTCTTTGCTTACTCATTTCCCTTTATTCCCACTCCTATTGCTTGCGAACTCAGTATCTTTCATTAAGACACATCCAAAATGTTATGTGATTTTTAAAAAAATAAACTTTGAATTTCACCTTCCAGGTCCATGGCAAGAGGTACGCCTACAAGTTCGACTTTGCCGGGCTAGCGCAAGCCTTGCAGCCGTCAGCCCCTCCCACGGAGGCGTATCCCCACCCCTACATGCACTCTGATTGGCTGCTGCACCACGGCTACCAACCCGCCCCGCCCTCCGTTAACTTCACGGCCAACCCTTACCACCACCAGCCCGTCGCCCCGATGCATCCCGGGATCTTCAGCCCGCGCGACCCCGGCAGCTACTACCACCACCACTACCACCACCATCACTGGCCCCCGCCATCGGGCCCTCCGACCCACCCGCAGCCGTCTGTCGCCGCGCCGCCCCACAGCGCCATGCCTTACCACAAGTACCACCCGGCGCAGCAGTCGTACCCGAGGAATCCTCAAAGTCAGCTCGGGGTGCCAGGAGAGACAACTCACATAAACCCGGCGTACATGAACACTTGCTATTAGGAGACGGAGTGATGCGCCTTTAATACCCACTTGGACTCGCTTCGCGCTTTCGTTCGTCTAAACGAAGTGGGTTCATCATTATCAATATGACCAACACATGCAATACCATCAAGTGAAATTGTTTGGAAATATTGCTTCTAATATAGAAGACTATCTCTTATAGAAGATAGATGTTTACTAAAACGAAAAAAAAAAAAGCAAAATAAAAAACAAACAAAAAAACAACGAAGATATTTGCTTACAAAACAGTTGCCTACGTTTTAAAAGAATGGTTTGAATAATTTGGGTTGTTGTTTAGTGACAGCCAGCAACGGTTGATAAAATCAACCTTTAATTACGTACGTTGAAACTTCTGTTGCTATACAGGGCAATGGACGATTGTTAACTCAGATTAACCATGGGATAGCGCTACGGTTAAACAGCTCTACGGCTGAATAGCTCCATGGCCCTAATCAGATAGCTGCTGTCGAGCAATGCACCTCTGGTGTCATATGGGAAATATGAACTAAAGATGGCGTCCCGTTCTATATCACTATGTGGAAGCAGTTTAATATCTACATTTAATTTAAATAATTATAATATATATATAAAACCAGTTGTGACAGTAACATTGTGAAGCCATCCATTAGAAGACGTAGAGATTGGATTTTATTTTCAATGATGCTCTATTGGATTCCTGAGTTTGAGATCCTCAACTGGACAACTTCCGGTCTATGGGTCTTCATTACAGCTTCTCCTCAACAGTGGTGTATTTTGACTAAATTCCACCTGGGGGCGAGTCCCCCCCCGGCCAAAAACAAAAAAATGACCCCCCCCCCCCGCAAGCACACACAACACCACCTACAACAATTCTTTATATTACATATAGACCTCAAAAGTGTCACCCTGGGCGGTGAACTCCTTCAAGCGCCCCCCCCCCCGCCAACCTAATTCCCATTCGTTACTGCGTCACAGGGCCATCATTTTGAAATACAATGTGTCACTGACATGTTTCGGAATGTCAGGGGAAACAGGGGCGGCTAAATCACAAACGTTGAAGGGTGGGGGGGGGACGGGTCCTAGGCGCCCCCAGGAAGTGCAACAGAAGACAATAAGAAATGTCCGCGAAAACAAAAATAATTTAAAATCCCGTAACACTTAAACTGCTATGTTGAGCTTCTTCAGGAAAAAAAAAAAAATTATTATTTGTGTATGTGGATAATATGTTGTTTACAATCAAATATGCCAATTTTAAACCACTGAGATGTTTACTTATTGACCTTTAACCTTTGAGGGGGAGTCACTAATATGCACCGTTCCCCGTAGTGAAAATGTTCTTCTGTGACGGAGAACAGAAAAACAAAACAAAAACAAACTAAATGCCTGGAAGCATGTCTAAGAAAAATCACCTGGTCCGAAAGTCTGGACAATTATGGCCATTAAAACGAAGACATTTTATATGTTTAACAGGTTAAACATTTATCGGGCCTACATTTTACTGTGAATACATATTTACTTTTTAACATAAAAACTGTACATATTTAGTTAATTAAATGTATGCCTTTAATTATTGACTCCATTGTGCCACTTGTGTGTATTTATATATGAGATAAATTTATATTGATCTTTTTTATGATTGCTAACAGAATAATTAAAGATAAATGACCAAAAACAATTTAATACATTTTTTTGTTCAATCATTTTCCTTGTAATATCTGCATCAATGAACACACCTTTAAGTCCTCCTAGTCTTCCATGTTCTCTAGAATTAAAAAAAAATAATAAAAAAGTTTGATTTACAACTCAGCTCACAAGGGTTCATTTAGTTCAACTACAAACATACTTAAGTACTCAAGGGTACACTTAGTGCATCTCCGAACTTACTTCAGTACACAAGGGTTAAATAAGTGCATCTACAAACTTACTTCAGTACACAAGGATTTAATTGGTGCATCTTGAAACTTACTTCAGTACACAAAGATTTAATTGGTGCATCTTGAAACTTACTTCAGTACACAATGATTTAATTGGTGCATCTTGAAATTTACTTCAGTATACAAGTATTTAATTGGTGCATCTTGAAACTTGCTTCAGTACACAATGATTTAATTGGTGCATCTTGAAACTTACTTCAGTACACAAGGATTTAATTGGTGCATCTTGAAACTTACTTCAGTAATAGGCATCACCTTGACACGTTGTCTCTTGAGCGCCATCTTATAAAAGACTCACAGACACACCATCTTGACATAGAGTCACGTGGGTTAGAGACCGACCGAATTTCGGCTTCGGCTTCGGTTTCGGCGCCGAAAGTGGCCATTTTATCACTTTCGGCCAAGTTTCGGTTTCGGCCGAAACTGAAAAGTTAACTTTCGGCTTAATTTCGGTTTCGGCCGAAAGAGAAAAGTTAATTTTCGGTTTTTCTTCGGTTTCGGCCGAAATTGA